GCAATGAAGATAACAAATGTGCTTTACACAATTGATGTGTGTATGGATTGTGATAAGAGTTGTATGAGCCCCTAATAAAATGTTTTAAAAAGAAAAGAAAAAAGTTTTAAAAGAGACAAAGACAACATAAGGACACTACCACTTTATCCAAATGAGGGAGGCTGTTGGCAGGAGGCCAATAGGTGTCCAAGGGGTGGTTGAGATACAGAGCTTTTAAAAGGACGTGGGAGGGCACCAGAAACTTCACAAAAGCATGATTGGTAACACAGATCAACACATCATAATTACAGGTGAGACCACAGAAGGAGGAACGGGATCATGATTAGATCATGTACATTCTTAGATAGGCCATTAAAGGTCCAGGGCCATTAAACCAAGGTAGTCTGGGTGACTGATAGGTACAGCCATCGCCATCAGAGAGAGTGCCCCTCCCTGGGCTGGCTGGAGATGGGTGGAGGTAATCTACTTTCCAAATGCACTGTCTGGGGCCAAGATGATCTGTACCCTTGGTTAGTGATCCAAGTGAATTCAACGGAGGCTTAATATATGCGGGGATTATGCCAATGGATTATGGCTGTCACTGTCATCCAAAATGTGAGGAACAAATCTGTCTTTGAAGAAGTACAACAGGGTGGCGAGACTTGTCTTACATGCTTTGAACCTGTTGCTCGGAGACATCCTGCTTAGTAAAGTAGAAGGGCTGATACTGTTTCCCTGCTACGTGGCAGTACATTGTAAAATATGGTTTCGAATGCTGCAAATGTTAGACTCTGGAAAAAGTGGAATTTCTACTGAATATGAGTTTTTTTTTTAACAGTGGTCTTAATGCTTTGGTGTTTGATAAGTAAGCAAACAAACAAATGAACAGAAACAACACCGAGCTTTCATGATAGGGTTACTTGGCTGTAGTAAGTGGTTTGCATTGAAATATAAAAACAGCATATACTTCAGTTGTGTTTAAAGAGTGGTTTAAAGTTCTTTTTGGAATCCCCAGGTAGTACAGATCGTTAACATACTCAGCTGTTAAGCCAAAGCTTAGAGGATTGAGTTCACCCAGCGGTATCTTGGAAAAAGGCCTAATCTAAAAAAGACCTGGTGATGGGTTGTGGAAAAAGCAACCAGGAAAGCCCGACGGAGAACAGTTTCTACTCTGGTACTCACGAAGTTGGCATGAGGAGAACTGACTCAATAGTGCCGAGTTCAAATTATTTTTATTTTCAAAAGTAGTAATATCCTCTCTGACACTTTAGGATAAAGAATAAGCAAAATTAGAAACAGCAATATGTAAAATACCCAAATCTTTTCCATTTGAATTGTGGGGGTCTACAGGAGCCCTGGTGGTGTAGTGGTTCTGCATTGGGTAGAAGTCCAAGTGGTTGGTAGTTCGAAACTACCAGCAGCTCCTTCGGAGCAAGACTGGGCTTTCTGTTCCCGCAAACAATTAAGTCTTAGAAACCCAAAGGGAGTCATTATGAGTCAACATTGACTCAATGGCAGTGAGTTTTGGGAGTGAAAATTTCCTGAGGGGAATTCTATACCTTTTTTGGTTTTTCTTCAGTGACAAATAAGAATGTTGGGTTTGGAATAATTAAAAATACCCAGACCAATAGCACCATTAATACATGGAGAAGATATTGAAATTTTCAAGGATTGCATTTTACTTAGCTCTATAGTGAATCCCTAGGGAAGCAGCAGTCATGAAATCAGATTTGTCATCAGGCAAATCTACAAACCCTATAGCTCAGCTCGATGTCGTCAATTCTGATCCATAGTGACCCTAAAGGACAGAGCAGCACTGGTCTTTTGGGTTTCTAGACTTTAAATCTATTCAGGAGCAGCCTGTCTCCTCTTTCTCCTTCAGAGCAGCAGGTGGGTTTGAACCACTGGCCTCATGATTAGCAGCTCAGTACATAGTCCCCAGTGATCTCCTAAAAGAGTAACCAAAAAACGATGTCACTTTGGGAACTAAAGTACTCATCTCAAGCCATGGTTTGTCAATCACCTTATGTGCATATGAATAAGGATGACTTGAAATGACTCAATTCCTTTGAGTTACGGTATTGGAGAATACCGTAATATATCATTACTGACTATATCTTGGTTTACCAGAACAAACAATTCAGTCTTGGAAGCAGTACAACCAAAATGCTTCTTAAAACTGAGGATGACAAGACTTCATCTCACGCAAGTAAGACCCGTCACTGGGAGGTGCCAGTTCCTGGAGAAGGATCCTGATCAAGTAGGGCGTATCAAGTTTGGGTGAATGAAAATGAAGACCCAGTCTCAACACAGGGGACCGACACAGTGACCGCAACAATGGGCTCACACAGAGCAGTCACAGTGAGCATGGCACAGGACTGGCCGTGTTTCATTCTGTCTGACAGAGGGGTCGCCGTGAGTCGGTACCAACTCAACAGCACCGCACAATAATTAATTGATTACATTTTCTCAGACAGCAACACATTGCACTTGATTAAGTCATCCAAATGAAGAAAGACGAACTTCCGATTTTCTTTTTTTGTTTGTATTTTTTTAGTAGCTTTTATTGGCATATGCTCCACACATCATGCAGTGTAATCATCCAGCCATATTCAGAGTATGTGCAATCCTAACAATCAATTTCAGAACATTTTCTTTGCATACTCATTCTTTTAAAAAAAAATCATTTTATTAGGGGCTCATACAACTGTTATCACAATCCATACATACATCAATTGCATAAAGCGCATTTGTACATTCATTGCCCTCATCATTCTCAAAACATTTCCTCTCTGCTTAAGTCCCCGGCATTAGGTCCTCGTTTTTCCCCTCCCTCTCCGCTCCCCCCTCCTTCATGAGCCCTTGATAATTTATAGATTATTATTTTGTCATATCTTGCCCTGTCCGACGTCTCCCTTCACCCACTTTTCTGTTGTCCGTCCCCCAGGGAGGAGGTCACATATAGTTCCTTGTAATCGGTTCCGATCCTCCGATTTTCAAGGAAGCCCAGACATGTCTTTCCAGTGGGATTTGGTTCCAGGCGATACAGTTTCTTCTGCCCGAATGAAATCACATCCTCTCCACCAGTGGTGTGAATGGCAAAACAGGGAGAGTAAAGGGAGAATTGGTAGGGAAGAGGGAACCGATTACATGGAACTGTGTGTGACCTCCTCCCTGGGGGACAGACAACCAAAAAGTGGATGAAGGGAGACGTCGGACAGGGCAAGATATGACAAAATACCCATTTATAAACTATCAAGGGCTCATGCGGGAGGGGGGAGCGGGGAGGGAGGGGAAAAATGAGGACCTATTGTCGGGGGTTTAAATGGAGAGAAAATGTTTTGAGAAACGATGTACAAATGCGCTTTACACAATTGATGTGTGTATGGATTGGGATAACAGTTGTATGAGCCCCTAATAAAATGTTAAAAAAAAAAAAAAGAAATCATGTCCTCTCCAGGGCAGATTCCTCCCGTGCCCCCTCCCTCCCTGCAGAAATCAGAACTACGGAGCATGAGCTTAGGTGAAAGACTGTTGCAGTCACGGAAATGTAAACAGTTTTCTTTTCAAAACTTAAGAGCAGTGGCAATGCAAGTCTAGGTATTGAGATTCTGAATGATTAGTAAATTAATGACACTTGGGAGTGCCAAGAATTTCAGTTCAGTATTGATTGAAAGACCTTCGTCCTTAGAAGCAGGAGACTCATTTTGGCTTTGGGGGTGGGGGAGGCAGAGGGAACTGCAGCAGGGTTGTGGTGTATTGTCCATTAAGGATTTCAAATGAAGGGTAGACTAGACATGCATGCTCCTAGTCATTGGCTCCGGGAAACTGAGCAACAGGAAGAGAATGTATGCGGACAAATTCTTTAGTCTTTTAATTCAGAAGCCTGGGAGGCCGGAATTGTGAATGGAGGGAGGCCTTGGCATTTATGAGTTGGAGAGGAGTCCCGGTCACACTCATAATTAAAAATCTTCCCTACAATATTCCTCCCACCATAGTGCTACCTTAAAGTGACTTCTTACAAGCACATAGCTCTAGGAGCAGACATGCTGCTCTTATTCTCCCTACTCAGGGGACAGTCACTCCCCCTTCCCTCAATACTAATCAAGCCAGCAGTGCCCGAAGTGGCAGGGACTTGTCGATCTTTTGTTACTGATTGCATCTGTGTTCTAAATTGGCAATCTGATGTCACTTCTTTTTTTCTGATGTCACTTAATCTTGATTTTGAAAATTAAAATTTAAAAACCTTTTAATTTGTGGAATGATCCTAATTGGAGAGCATCTTTAATAGACAATGCCTGAGGCTGACAAAGTGCCAACACAGACATCATAATCTGTACTTTTAAATGCTAACTACATCTGCAGTATATATTCATATCCCACATCAACACTTTCAGAAATGGCAGACATTTTTTTCTGCTACTGATTTTTAGAACATAGCTCACAATAAGGAAATAAACAGGTGACTTCTGTCTGATTGGTCAAAGTAGACTGTGGAAAGTCAATACACTAATTAAAAATAAACCCAAGGGTATGTTTTTTAAATTGATGATTTTTAGACGTAATATTTGTACATTTAAAATTTTAAGAACATAGATCAGAAACAGTGACTTAGGAATGGGAGGGAGGTGATAGTAGGGAGGCGTGATAGCTGATCATTCAACAGTGAAAAAGAATGAAAAGCAGATTAAGAAAACAAGCAGATTTAAGAATTTAGCAAAAAAGAGAGGTGAGGACAAAGGATCCTTTCTACCTCAGTGGTGTTTGGCCTTGTTCTTGTGATAATAGTATGAAGTTACAGTGAATGTTTATCTTCATCATGTGGCACAGAGTAGAAACTTGATAAATGCTTCTTGAATAGGGGATTCAGAAAAGGCTAGATTCCATTTGATTTTCTCAATAGACAAAAGAGAAGCATGCAATAAATGTTAGAAAATTGAAGAATACTATCAACTATTTACAATTTGAAATAACATCTTTGAAACATTAAGGGGTCAACTTTATTTGGCAGATAATCTGTAGTGAAGGTTGTAATCCTTAATCTCCATTAGGGTTTCGAGTCTTCTACCCTTTGAGCAAATAATGTCTTACCTGCTATACATCGCAGGTTGTTGATGAATCATCCTCCAATCTGGATGCTGGATATTTTGTATACTGCAGATTCTGGAGTTATTGCGTAGCATACAGCTTGAATAAGAAAGGCGAATGGATACAACCCTGAAACACACAATTCCTGATTTTAAGCCATGCGTTAAAATCTGTTTAAATCTTAGTATTTAGTTTAGTAGGTTTTATTGCCAGTGAGTCTGCATTTCGTATATGTTTTGAAAATTTACTAGTACCTAAGATATCACATAGGTGCTTATATAAATTAAATTATTTTTGTTTTTCTTTATGTTTCAGATGTTTCTACTATCTGGGGGTATGTGTCAGAATTTGTGGAACGGCAGCTAACTCTGCACAAGGTAGGGTTTATACTTTAATTGTAGTGCAAGAGTCCAAAGGATTGTTCCTCCATCCTCTTCTACCGTGTTTCTGGGAGCAGAAAATAGTCTTCAGAACCACCTTATGTAACTTATAGCCCTGTGATTTTATGGTGTTCCCACTTAGGGTTTTTGGACAGCAGATTTGACAAATTTGACAGATTTCATCCATAAGCAATGAATTTGTAAATTCTGTTCTTCTATTAATAAGGAAAGCAGGCTGATCATCCTGAGTATGTGTAAAGAACTAGAGGAGTTCTGTATATCTGTCATTCAATAGCTCTAGGCATGGCTTTGGACAAATATAATGTGTCTTGTTTAATCTCAGGGAATGAATTTTCTTTGGAATATCAGAAGACAGGGACTAAACTCAACCTACTAAAAATGAGAAACAATTCTAACTTACTGCCATCTAGACCAGTGGTTCTCAATCTTCCTAATGTTGCGATCCTTTAATGCAGTTCCTCATGTTTTGGTGATCCCCAACCATAAAATTATTTTTTAAATCGTTTTATTAGGGGCTCATACAACTCTTATCACAATCCATACACACATCAATTGTGTAAAGCACATTTGTACATTCATTGCTCTCATCATTCTCAAAACATTTGCTCTCCACCTAAGCCCCTGGCATCAGCTCATAAAATCATTTTCATGGCTACCTCATAACTGCAATTTTGCTACTGAATCGGGTGACCTTTATGAAAGAGTCATTCGATCCCCAAAAGAGTCACGACCCACAGGTTGAGAACTGCTGGTCTAGACGATTCCACAGCAAAACTAGGCTGCTTGTCAAGTTTTGGATTGTAATGCCATAGCAGTAGAGAGATTTTTGAAGGAGGTTGGAGGGATCTTGGAGGCTGTGGGTTTCATGTTGGGCTGTTAACCTACAAGGTCAGTGGTTCAAACCCTCCAGCCCCTCCATAGGAGAAAGTTTCACTTTAAGCTACCGTAAGGATTTACTGCCTCGGAAACTGAGCACTTCTGCCATTATGAATCAGAATCAACTTGATAGCAGTGGTGTTTGGAGGTTGTGGGTTCTCAGAGGACCCAACACGACAGTTCTTGGGTCATATTAATACTCCAAACTTAATTTCTTTTACCTAAGAATTTGAGAGTGTTCACCACTTAAAATTAGGAGAGTTGGTATAGAATTTTGGAATTTTTTCTGCCTTATTTTGAAGAAGCAGCAGCTCTAACAAGGCCCGTCATTCATTCCAGTGTGATGACACATGTCTGGACCTGAAGACAGGCTCTTTATAGATGAGACAGCAGTCTCCAGCCAGGACTTTCTCCTGCAGCCATTACGCTCGCTATGGACCACCTCGCCCCCTTCCGTTCTTCCTTGGTTCTCACAGGAATTGAAGTTTGAAGCTTTTGATATAGGATGTCTTCATAGACATAGAGAACCAGTTTGAGAGTCCAAAGCATTAGCTTCTACCCATCAATCAGGCTGTCTTATGCCTTATGCATATGCCTTAGATGCTAGATTGCCTGATTTTAAGTCAGAGACCTAAACCGTAAAAGAAGGAATGAGAAAGCAAAGATTCTCATGCCATCTTCAATTTCCTCTATGTAGTAGTAAATCTAAGTTATAGATAAAAAGAAGTCTTGGCACCCATCCAAGTTTTCTTAGTTCTCCACAGCCTTCCAGTGGTATATAGATGAAAGAATGTCAGTAAAGCATAGCAGGTGGATATATCCTGATAAATTACATTTTATGCTGAACTTATTCGGTAGCTTAGAATCATAAAAATGTTATAGCTTTAAGTGATCATATAGATTACTGAAATGGGAAGATTCACACTTAATTCTCTTCATGTTCATTGACTAACTTTTTAAAAATGTCATTTTATTGGGAACTCATCTAACTCTTATCACAATCCATATATACATCTATTGTGTGAAGCATATTTGTACATTTGTTGCCCCCACCACTTTCAAACATTTTCTTTCTACTTGAGCCCTTAGTACTAGGTCCTCCTTTTTTCCCTCCCTTCCCCATGCACCCTCCCCCATGAACCCTTGATAATTTATAAATTATTATTATTTTTTCATGTTTACACTGACCGATGTGATGTCTCCCTTAACCCACTTTTCTGTTGTCATTGACTAACTTTTGCAAAGTAACATTTTCTTCACCTCTTTAGTAAATTTTCCCTGGTTTTCTCCTCTTTTTCCTTGTAGGGGGTTCATATTCCAGGACTTGGAATTTTCACTTTCATGAGACAAAAGCTTGATATGGGAAGCAATAAATTCATTCTAATTCAGAGACCCATATTCATCTTGGCAGAGAAGTTAGTACAACTCCACGGACTTACACAAAACAAGGTGCATACTCCTGGTAAGTCGCCTGATGTTCAAAACGTTTCTAGAAGGCTCGAAGGTGAAAACTCAAGGGCAAAGCTTGGCTGTTGTTTTTGTTTCTGACTTGAGATGATCACTTTTCACTTGGATTCTGTGAAAGAGGTAGAGACTGACGTGAAGGACAGGAAAATATTAGGCCTTTCTGCAGGGTATTTTAAACCTCATTAACTTAAGAAGTAGGCTTGAGAAGACCTGCTATGATATCAAAGAATTATTATAAAAGTTCCATTACAGTATATATAGACTTAATCCATATTACACATCCTATGGAGCTAAAAAGTGGTTATAAAGAAGAAAAGAATTTAGCTTGTGTGGTGTAATGAATTGTATCATTTGATGTAATTGATAATGTTCTTCTAGTCACGGGGTCTGGACCTCCCAGTGTATGACTTTCCCTGTGGTCTGGGGCTAGAGAAAGTGTGTGTGTGTGTGTGTGTTGGAAGGGGTGTGTGTGTGCTTATGGGATTATATAATCCAGTTTTGAGTGATTGTTAGCCGGGTTAATTGTGATTGTAAAAACTTGGATTTCGAAGCAACATACAACTTTCCTCTAGTTCCTAAATGCTTCCTCACCCCCACTATCATGATTCCAATTCTACCTTACATATCTGGCTGGATCAGAGCATGTACACTGATACAGATAGGAGCTGGAAACACAGGGAATCCAGGGGGTATGATCCCTTCAGGACCAGTGGTGAGAGTG